GGCCTGATAGAAGCCCTCCGGGGGCCTCATCCGGCCCCCGGGCCACATGTTTGACACCCTTGCCTTATAGTGCTGCTGCCACCACCGGGTCTGAATGGCTTGGACCTGGGCTAAGGTTGCCAGCTCTGGGCTGGGAAATTCCTGGAGATCTCGTTCCTGGGACCTCGTTCAGGGTATAATGCCACAGTCATAGAATCATAGAGTTGGAAGGGACCTCCAGGGTCATCTAGTCCAACCCCCGCACAATGCAGGAAATTCACAAATACCTCCCCCCCCCACATCCCCAGTGACCCCTGATCCATGTGTAGAAGATAGCAAAGCCTCCAGGATCCCTGGCCAAACTGGCCCGGAGAAAAATGGCTTCCTGACCCCAAAGTGGCAATCGGCATTTCCCTGGGCGTGGAAGAAAGGGCCACGAGAACTGAGCACTGAGGCAACCCTTCCTGCCCTCCCTCTCATGATCTGCCTGAGATCACAGAATCAGCATTGCTGTCCGATGGCCATCTAGCCTCTGCTTGGAAACCTCCAGTGAAGGAGAGCCCACCACCTCCCGAGGAAGCCTCCCTCCAAAGCTGGCATTTTCTCCAGGGGAACCAATTTATGCGGTCTGCAGCAGTCCATTCTCCAGGCCCCACTTAGAGTCTGTAGCAACCCGAGCTGCAGTGTTAGGAGAGTCAAGTAATGAATAAATATACACTGCAAGAAACTTGTGTAAATTAACGTGTTCTGTTTATAACTATCATTGTATAAAGTGCATTGTGTGTTATTATAACATCCTTGTCAGGTACATTTATTCAGTACAGGACAGAAATAAAGAAGGTAACTAGCAAGCACCTTGGGGCAGGGAGCAACTGTCTTTTTCCGCATAAAGTGCCATGTACGTAGGTAACCCTATATAAATTGTAAGTACAGCTTCTTTGAGAAAAGTATATTTATCACCATCCTAACGTGTGTGTGTGTGTATAAAGTGCCGTCAAGTTGCAGCCAACTTATAGTGACCTCAGCAAGGAGCTTTCAGGGCAAGGGAGAAGCAGAGGTGGTTTGCCATTACCTTCCTCTGCAGAGTCTTCCTTGGTGGTCTCCTTTCAAAGTATCAACCCTACTTATAGGGTTGCCAACCCTGTTTCTCCTTGCGGCGGGGGGCTCCCGGACGGCGTCCCGAACGCGCGCGCACCGCATGCACATCAGCCGGATGTGACGTGCTGACGCCGGGCATGCTGGGGGCGGGGCCACAGCCATTTGAGGGGAAAACATAGGGTTTTCCCCTCAAATGGCTGTGCCCCGCCCCCAGTGTCATGACGTCACTTCCCTGTGACATGCATGCGGCGGGAGACAGCACAAAGTCCCCCGCTGGCAGAGGTGAGTTCATTTGGCAACCCTACCCCCCACCCTTTTTTCTGAAGACTTCGTGCAAGTAGAAGCGGGCTTGTGATTCTGGAAACTCCCATCGGGGCTTGACTTTTAAAATACTGATGCAAAATTGACTGGTAGTCGAGTGGCGGCTGACGGGCCAATGGCTGAGGGAGTGCATGGAATCTTGCCACCCCAAAACAGGATTATTATATAGGAGAGATAGTAATAAACAGAACACATTAATTTACAAACGTTTCTTGCAGTGTATATTTATTTGTTACTCAACCCACTTGGAGTCTGTCAGCCCTAACCTGGGTTGCGGCGAGGGTGACGATGGGTAAATACCGCCAACGCCACAGGGTCCACTTGGCACAGCTGGTTTCTGGCTGCCAGCGGTCTCCCAGGAACTTTCCTACAAAGTGGGTGGACCAAGCCTCCCTAGATAATGGTGGGTAGCCATGTTGGGCTTTTGGAATGGTACTGTTGGCTCCTAAAGAGTTTAATATCCAGTCTGGCCCCTAAAGGTGAAGGACAGCAACATTGGGAAGGTTTGTCAAGCTCTCGGCAAGTCATAAGACTTGGCTAAGGGCCGGTATTTAGCCTGGCAAGAGCCCTGACGGGAAAAAGCAACTCCTGGGAAACTCTGTTTCGCCTGCCCTGCATCTTTCCGAGCACCTAAATTTCCCAGCCGTCTTTGGAATTCTGGATTTGAGGATCCTTTCCTCCCTTCCTTTTCAGAGCCCTGACTAAAGGTTGCCGCTGCGTCGAACTAGATTGTTGGGACGGCCCGAATTCAGAGCCGATCATTTACCACGGCTACACCCTCACGTCCAAGATCCTTTTCTCTGACGTCATAAAAGCCATCAAGAATTACGCTTTCAAGGTAAGGAACCCCCTTCCCCAGTTCTTGCAGCCTTGGGAATATGGTTTTTTTCCTCATGGGAAGAAGAAGAAGAAATTGGATTTATACCCCGCCCTTTACTCGGAGTCTCAGAGTGACTTACAAACTCCTTTCCCTTCCCCTCCTCACAACAGACACCCTGTGAGGTAAGTGAGGCTGAGCGAGCTCTTTCAAGAACAGCTCTGACAGAACTATGGCTTGCCCAAGGTCATCCAGCAGCTGCAGGTGGAGGAGTGGGGAATCAAACCCGGTTCTCCCAGATTAGAGTCCACGCACTTAACCACTACACCAAACTGGCTCTGCCAAGTTATTGGGGTCTTTTGGGAGTTTTTTTTGCCCTTGAATATTCTTTGAGCTCTTTGCCTTCTGAAATCTGTGGATGCTGAGAGTTTCCCAGCCATTGCCTACTGGGGGGTTTACATCCACAGGGGCCATAAACTTGGTATTTGAAAAAAATTATATTCTTAGAGGCAAAATACATGATCAAACACATAGCTATAGCTTTTGTTGCACAGTGTCATTTCACAGTTCAAAGGAAGGAATATCCTGTCAGTTTGGTGCAGTGGTTAAGATTGGCAGACTCTAATCTGGAGAACCGGGTCTGATTCCCCACTCCTCCACATGCAGCCAGCTGGCTGGCCTGAGGTCACTCACAGTTCTCTCCGAGCTGTTCTCTGAAGAGCAGTTCTCTCAGAGCTCTCTCAGCCCCACCTGCCTCACAAGGTGTCTGTCGTGGGGAGAGGAAGGGAAGAAGATTGTAAGCTGCTCTGAGACTCTGAGTGAAGGGTGGGGTATAAATGCAATCTCCTCCTCCTCCCAATAACAAAGAGAAACCACCATTCTGTCCACCAAATACCCTTCAAAAGAGCAGGGGTCATTTCGTAGAAAAAGAGGCGCAGGGGCTCATTAGCACAACTCATTAGCACAACTCATTTGCATACGCCACACCCCCTGACATCACCGGAAGTGTGTCAGAAGGCAACACCCACCGCTCAGGCTCCACTGGACTGTTTTGGATTGCTAGCTATTGGGGGGGCAATGTTCCCTCTAAGCTGTGGAGTCTTGTGAGCAAAATTGCCACTTTCTGAGCTACTGGCATTAAAGTTGTGAGCGAGCGATTCAGCTACTGCATTAATTAATTTGTTCTGGAGCCCTCCTTCCTGAGCTAAGACAAAAATGTGTGAGCCAGAGGCTAAAAAACTGTGAGCTAGCTCACACTAACTCAGCTTAGAGGGAACACTGGGGGGGGGATGTTCAGATCTGCCCTCACAGAGGAGGGAGAGCTTGTACCTGAATAAAACCTGGTCTTAAAGGTGCCACTGGACTGTTGGGGGCCGGGAGGGGGGCTCTGCAACTTACCTGGCTGCTTCTTGCTCTGACTGAGGGCTGCTGGGAGAAGGGGGTGGGGCTTGTTGCATGTGCCCGCCCCCTGGGCTCTTTACCGCCGGAGCTCCGCTCCTGTGCACTCCTGCAGGAAAGGACCCCTGCAAAAGAGGATGGTCTCCACTCCCCGTCTAGGGGCTATGGCCAGCTGGGCACTGTTTAGAGGCGGGCCTCATGTGTTTTCTTGTTCTCTTCTCCGCAGACCTCGCCCTATCCCATCATCCTGTCCCTGGAGAACCACTGCAGCCTCGAGCAGCAGAAGATGATGGCCCACCATATGCAGACAATCCTGCAAGACATGCTGCTCGTGGCCCCCGTGGACTCCAACAAGAGCCTGCCTTCGCCAGAGGTGAGTTTAGCCAGATCCGTGGACAGTTGCCGACTCAGTGTTCCCTCTAAGCTGAGTTCGTGTGAGCTAGCCAACGTTTTTTTAGCCTCTGGCTCACACATTTTCAGGAAGGATGGGCTCCAGAGCAAACTAATCGATGCAGCAGCCCAATCGCTCGCTCACCACTTGAATGCCAGTCGCTCAGAAAGTAGGATTTTTGCTCACGAGACTCCACAGCTTAGAGGGAGCATTGGTTGCCATCAGGGTTGCCACGCCCAGCAGGAACTCATTAGCATAATAGGCCACATCCAACAGCAGAAATTCATTTGCTTATTAGGACACACCCCTGACCGCATAGCTCATTAGCATATTAGGCCACGCACCCC